TATTTGGATCTTCTCTCTTCTTGGTTAATCTCGTTAATGGTCTGTTTTATTGATTTATCTTTACAAAGAACCAGTTTTGTTTCATTTATCTTTTTATTTTTTATTTTTGGTTTTAATTCCATTTAGTTTTGCACTGATCTTTGCCATTTATTTTCTTCTGCTGGGTTTGGGTTTCGATTATTCTTTTTTCTCCAGTTCCATGAGGTGTGACCTTAAGTTGTCTATTGGTTCTCTTTTGAACTTTTTGATATAGGCATTCAATGCTATAAACTTTCCTCTTAGCATCACTTTTGCTGTATTCCAGATATTTTGATAGGCTGTGTCACTATTATTATTCTGTTCAAAAACTTTTAGATTTCCATCTTGATTTCATTATTGACCCAATTATCATTCAAGAACCCATTATCATTCAAAGGTTATTTAATTTCCATATATTTGCATGGTTTTAAGGCTTCTTAGAGTTGATTTCCAATTTTATTCCACTGTGGTCTAAGAAAGTTCTTGATATAATTTTGATTTTCTTTATTCTTTTTTTTTTTTTGAGGTGGGGTCCCACTCTGTCACCCAGGTTGGAGTGCAGTGGCACAATCTAGGCTCGCTGCAACCTCTTACTCCCAGGTTCAAGTGATTCTCTTGCCTCAGCCTTCCAAGCATCTTGGGATTACAGATGCCCACCACCATGCCTGGCTAACTTTTTTGTATTTTTAGTAGATATGAGGTTTCGCCATGTTGGTCAGGCTGGTCCTGACCTCAGGTGATCTGCCTGCCTTGGCCTCCCATAATTTTGATTTTCTTAAAAATACTGAAACTTGTTTTGTGGCTTATCATATGGTCTATCTTGAAGAATGTTACATGTGCTAATGAACAGAATGTATATTCTGCAGTTGTTGGGTAGCTATGTAAATATCTGTTAAGTTTGTTTGTAGAGTATCATTTAGGTCCACTTTTTCTTGTTGACTTTCTGTCTTGATGACCTGTTCAGTGCTGTCAGTGGTGTGTTATAGTCCCCCATATTATTGTGTTGCCATCTATCTCATTACTTAGGTCTAGTAGTAATTGTTTTATAAATTTGGGATCTCCAGTGTTAGGTGCATATATATTTAGGATTGTAATACTTTCCTGTTAGACTAGTCCTTTTACCATTTTATAATGTCTCTCTTTGTCTTTTTAAACTGCTGTTGCTTTAAAGTTTGGTCTTTTCTGATATAAGAATAGCTACCCCTGCTCACTTTTGCTGTCCATTTGCATGGAGTATCTTTTTCTACCCCTTTACCCTAAGTTTATGTGACTCCTTAGGTGTGAGGGGAACCTCCTTAAGACAGCAGAAACTTGGTTGGTTCATTCTTACCCACTCTGTCATTCTGTATCTTTTAAGTGGAGCATTTAGGCTGTTTACAATCCATGTTAATATTGAGATGTGAGGTACTATTTTATTCATCATGCATTTGTTTCCTGATTACCTTTTCTTTCATTGTGTTACTGTTATATAGGTCCTGTGAGATTTATGCTTTACAGAGATTCTATTTTGGTGTATTTCAATGATTTGTTTCAAGATTTAGAGCTCCTTTCAGCAATTTTTGTAGTACTGGCTTGGTAGTGATGAACTCTCTCAGCATTTGTCTAGAAAAAACTGTATCTTTCCTTCATTTATGAAGCTTAGTTTTGCTGGACACAAAATTCTTGGCTGACAATTGTTTTGTTTAAGGAGGCTAAAAATAGGACACTAATCCTATCTAGCTTGTAAAGTTTCTGCTGAGAAATCTGCTGCTAATCTGATAGGTTTTTCCTTTATAGGTTACCTGATGCTTTTGCCTCAGAGCTCTTAAGATTCTTTCCTTTATCTTGACTTTAGCTAACCTGATGACTATGTGCCTAGGTGATAATTTTTTGGCAATGAATTTCCCGGGTGTTCTTTGAATTTCCTGTATTTAGATGTCTAGATCTCTAGCAAGGCCAGGGAAATTTTCCTTGATTATTCTATCAAATATGTTTTCCAAACTTTTAGACTTCTCTTCTTCCTTGGGAACACCAATTATTTTTAGGTTTGGATGTTTAACATAGTACCAAACTTCTTGGAGGCTTTGTTCATTTTTTTCATTCTCTTTTCTTTCTCTTTGACAGATTGGGTTAATTTGAAAGCCTTGTCTTTGAACTCTGTCTTCTGCTTGTTCCATTCTATTGCTGAGACTTTCCAGTGCATTTTGCATTTCTCTAAGTTTATCTTTGACTTCCGGAAGTTGTGATTGTTTTATATTTATACTATCTATTTCACTGAAAAATTTTCATTTTATATTCCATGTCATATTTCTTTTATTTTCTTTCTTTCTCTGGTGCCTCCTTAATTAGCTTAATAATCAACTTTCTGAATTCTACTTCTGGCAATTCAGAGATTTTATCTTGGTTTGGATCCATTGGTATCCACTAGTACCATCTTTTGGGAGTATAAGAGAGCCTTGTTTTCTCACGTTACCACAGATGGTTTTCTGGTTCTTTGTATTTGGGTAGACTATGTCAGAGGGAAGATCTGGGATCTAAGGGCTACTAATCAGATTCTTTTGTCCCACGGGTGCTCCCTTGATGTAGTGTTCTGCCCCTTCCCCTATGAATGGGGTTTCTTGAGAACTGAACTGTAGTGATTGTTTTTGTTCTTTTGGGTCTAGCCACCCAGAGGAGCTCCTGGGCTCCAGGCTCGTAATGGGGAGTGTCTGCAAAGAGTCCTGTGATGTGATCTGTCTTCAAGTCTCGCAGCCATGGATATCAGCACCTTCTCTGATGGAATTAGCAGTGAAGTGAAGTGGTCTCTGCGAGGGTCCTTGGTTGTGTTTTTGTTTAGTATGTTGGTTTTGTGTTGGTTGGCCTCCAGCCAGGAGGTGGCATTGACAAAAGCACATCAGCTGTGTTCCTATAGGGAGGATGCAAAGTTGCCCTAGGGACACTTAGTTAAATATTTAGGTCTCTCAGATGATGGGCAGAGCTGTAAAGCTCCCAAGAGATTATGACTTTTGTCTTTGGCTACCAGGGCAGGTAGAGAAAGACTACTAGGTTGGGGCAGGGGTAGGAGTGTCTAAGCTGAGCCTCTCCTTGGGCAGAGTTTCAGAATCAAAGAAGCAAAACAGCAGATGTGTTATTTACTAAACAGTTGAGGACAAGTGATTTTAATAGGATTCCTTTCCTAGGGCCATTAGTCTCCCTTCTTGTGTTCACAAATAATTGTGCAGAAAGAGCATCCAATATGGCAATAAGCATAGTTCATGGAATGTTTTAAGATAAAAATTCCTTCTAGAAAATAAAAATTTTACCAAATTCAGATTCAGGGGCCACAGAAAACATGGTAGAAAGAGTCCTTAGTATATTTCAAATATTTCCCATAATACTGCATTGATTTTAAATAAAATAATGAGACTCAGATAAAAAGTTAGTTGTTGGCTAGAGTTTGCACTTGGGTGGATACAAGCACTCTTCAAGGAGAAACACAAGAATAGGCTCTATCATGCCAATTAAGAATTCATCATATGACTCTGGTTTGTCAATATTCTGGCAATGTTAAGTTCCCAAAAGTAGCCTAGAAAATCTAGAATGAAAACAAATCCAAGGCTATTTGTACTCACTTCCAGAAGTACATCTGTGTAAGAATCTCGTATTCCTATTCAGTTGTACCACTCAAAAAATGCTGCAGGGCATTGTAAGTACACTATACCCATGGAGTATTCTCCCAACAGGGAGTTCCCAAACTTATTTGAGAATAGGACATTCCCCCTCCGCCTTTTTAAATAATACCTCTTGTTATCCTGAGTATGAGTGTTCCTACAAACAGACTGGGAGTGCTGTTCCATTAAAACAATAGTCTAAAGTACTTAAGAGTATTGGGCATGGTGTCAGGGTGCCTAGATTTAAATGTTAACATAATAGCTGGTGACCTTGGACGAGGTACTTAGCTTTTCTCTGCTTTGGTTTCCTCTTCTTTAAAATGGATATAACAAGAGTTATCTGCTGCTTGGGTTTATTTTCAGGAATAGAGGAGAATATGTACTTAGTGGAGTGCTTAGCACAACGCCTACAATAGTAATCTTCAGTCAATGCAAGCCCTGAATATTTTTATTATACCCAGTGGTATGGCTAAACTCAGTAGAGAAAACCTTTCCAAAAGAGACCTCTTTTGTGGGTCTGGGCTAGTCCCAGATTTGTTTCAGTTCTCCAGCCATCTCTAGTTCTACACTTTAGGTTTCCATTTCACTGGAAGCTGTTCATTTTCTTCTCTGTTACTCTGAATTGCATTTCCTGGGGATTTTCCAAGGCAGACTTGACTAGAGACTTAGGGAAGAAAATCTTCTACCCAGATGGGTCCTTACTTCTAAAAGAGAAGACACTGCATTGGAAATGGTTGCATAAAGCTCTGGCTACAGTGGAACTTGCATCAAAGCCCTCGCATGCCTTTGGCTGTCTTCATGGTTGTATTCTAGGCAAGGAAGGCTTGGTGGCTCTTGGACAACTCTTCCAACTCCTTACCTCTGCCCTGTTGTTTCTGTTAACAGGGTGTTTATGATAATGACAAAACCTAAACTCTTTCTTTACATTTTAATTTCTTTTTTGGGGGTAGGGGTAGGGGAGCATTTGATGGCTTCTTCTTGATTACTGAAGAAGTAATACTTATTACACAAAAAAGAAGCATACTTATTACACAGAAATCTAACATTATATAAATATATCAGGTAAAAAGTAAACATCTCCTATAATTCCACAACCCCTGCCTCTCCCGACAATCCCAAGACTGCTACTGTCAACAATTTTTTTCTCATTTTTAATGACGCACAGAGCTGGAAGCTCTGTACTCTGCTGGGAATTCTTCATTCTGCACCATTTGCCTCAGGAGTTTTTCTATTTATCCTTATAAAAGAAACTTCAAATAACATCTTAGTGAAGTTATTCTGATCCAGCCAAGCCATGTTGGTCCCTCTCTTAACCAGGTGCCCAAAGTAATAGGTACAGCCTATATTTAGAGAACTTTCCATAATTTCATTGCAATTTTTGAATTAAATGTCTCTCTTACTTCAAGACTTTAAAGAGTCATGTCTCTTACCTCTTTGATACAAGGCATCTGATACATGAACCAGCAGTCAATGCACAACAAATTTTTGTCGAGTGAGTGAATGAAGAAACATACCAATAAAATATTTTTCTAAGACATGGACTTTCAAGCTCTGTAGCAATCACAATCAGGAGGCTCATCATTTACATTTTTCTGAAAAAATGTTTCTTATATATCCCACATTCCAAAAACCAGGTAATACTGTTAATTCTTATTTCTTTAGACCTGAAAGCTCAAAATTTTAACTTCACAGAAAATGATACAGTTGGAAGAATTTGGGCTGGATGGTAATTTATTTTCCAAGTGCCAAATGAGCATTCTGGAGCATCATTGGTCATAGGCTTTGTCCACTGACACCAGAACATTCCAGGAAATAATATCTCAAATAAACAGTTTCAAGTCCAGTAAACCACAAACACAGAGAAGTATTCAACAGCACTTAATAGCAAATAACCTTCTGTAGACGGTTACTTGGGAATGACTAATTATATTTACAAAGCACAAATATCTCTTCTGTTAGATTAATTGAACATAATTTAAGCTGAAGGCTTGGGCAAAAAGTGAATCTATAAGAGTGGCAAGAAGGGAAGACAAAGGAGAAGATACCAGAAGGATGAATCTTAGAAAAATATTTCCAAATATCAGAGAGCGCCACTGGACCAACTCTTCAAATTAACAAGCTCCACTGAGGAACTCTGACATGCTGCATGACACATCGTCCAAGGAATATCATCCAAAATAAGTCTCATTTTTCTTGGAAAAAGAGATTGCCACAGAGCTTTCACATTTTACCAATTAAACAGTTTGGATTCCATGTAATTAAGTAATATAATTATGAATTTATTTTTTGGCCTCAAGCCCATGGCTGCATTTCTAGTTCAAGTCTATCAGCAATTTTCATCCAGAATTCATACATGTTGAACCTAGCTCTTCATATTAAAATACATAGGCAATCTATAAGTATAAATTCACAATTTTAAAATTAAAGAGTAAGACTCAATGAGTACAATCACAAAAAATGAAGTACAGAGTAGATACTGGGCATTCAACATAAGCAGGATATAGAAGTGACCAGGAGAAATATAAGACTTCTACAAATTCAGTATGAAATGAAAAAAAGTGGAGCAGTCACTGGGTTTCTACCGTGTAAGGCATGGTGGCTTAAGTAGAAAAGGGAAAGGATATTTAAAGTTACATTAGTATAGCTAACATATTAAGTTAGGAGGCAAAGTAATCACTAACAGGGATGGAGGTAAACTAAATTATCGTCTTCTTTTATATGAAAAATAATGGTGCTGTCAGAATTGTGCTTATTAATTTATAAAAGTTAACATTTATTGATAACTTGGGTTGGGCCAGCTCCTATTCTAAGTATATTCTGTAAATAGTTTATTTAATTTTCAAAGCAACTTTATGAGATAGGAACTATGATCTCCATTTCACAGATGAGAAAATTGAGGCACAGAGAGGCAAAGTAACGTGCCTAAGGCTATACAGCTAGGAAATTACAGAGCCGAGATTTAAATCCTGGCAGTCTGGCTCCAGAATCCAGTTTTTAACAGTATACTATGGTACCTCATAATGCCTACTCAAAAGAAATATTACTCTTTATTTTAGAGCTCTATTCATGTCTTTAAATAGGCTTTCAGAAATCTTTTGGAGATTTAAGTCCTGAATTGAACAGACTGGTCACTAGCTATCAAAAGCAGCTGAAGTTGATGTACTTTGAGAACTGGTAAAAGATACTCAACTCACTTTTGCATGGTATTTGATGTTTGTCCATGTGACTGAAATCAATTCAATTAACAGGATCCCACGCTGAGTACCAAAGAAGTAAGATTCAAAGCTTAAAGAGGATAGAGTTTTTATTTCAATCTAGAGCAAATGAAATACTCTGAAACTTATGGTTGAATAGAGATGAGAAAAATGAAGTCCAGAGCGTTCAAACGACTTAAGGCCCAAAATGTAGTTTGTAGCACAAAGTGACCTAAAGTCCAATTCAAATGGGTCTAAAGAAAGTTTCTCTTTTAATTCCACCACTGTGCTTCCAATCAAGCTGGTGGAACATACCAAAATAAAATTAATGTCCAAAATAAATATCTGTCATTTATAAAGAGGAAAAATGTTTGACTTTTTCCTGCTTTGCTCTAGAACCCACTTCATTCTGGAATGATATGAGAAACAGAAAGAAGAGATAGCCAAGGGAATATTTTTAAAAGGGGAGGAGAGAATTAACATAGCATCTCCCAGCTCTTCTGTGAAGGAATGTGTGATTTTCAGTTTTATTTGCTGGATAACATCTCTCTCAAACCGTCTCCAATTCTAAAATTAGGTGTTGAAATTATGTCTATATTGATAACTCTGTGTGTGTGTGTGTGTGTGTGTGTGTGTGTGTGTGTGTGCGCGTGTGTGAAGGTCACTCGCTCCATTCTAAGAACCTTAAGAACAGAGGACATGCTTTAAACCTGTGTGCCCAGCTTCTACGAAGTGCTTTATAAAAACCAAAGTAGGTGCTTAAAAATATTTTATGTTACATATGGTAGTTATGGTAAAAGTGTAAGTATATACAATGTGAGATTTCCAATTAGTTTGTTTTCTTTAACAAAATGACCCTGTATTCACGTTACCTAGATATTTTTATTAGCTTATTTTAGTGGTTCTCAAACTGGGGCTCCTGCTTCCCCTGGTCCTTCAGGGGACACCTGGCAATGTCTGGAGACATTTTTGGTTATCATAACTTGAGATTAAGGGAGGGTGCTACTGGCTTCCAGTGGGAAGAGGTCAGGGATGCTGCAAAATATCCTATCATGTGTGGGACAGACCTTGCAACAAAGAATTATCTGGTCAATCTTTCAGCCTAGATTCCTTATTGTGGCTATAGAAATCATTCTTTCTATCCTAGATTACTCTTTTGTTTCTATCTTGGAAAGACGACCGGCCTTTATCCATTGTTCTAATAGCCTGATAATCTCTGATAATAAATAAGGGAAAGGAAGTAGGAGGTGCTGCTGATTTTTCTTTGCATTTGGTCATATTTTCCTTGCATATTCTTCAGTTGGTATGGTTACATTTGCTTCAGTTTTATTTGCTTGTTCATTTCCCCCAGTGGCTAATAACATTTGACACTTCAGATGTATGGAGTACACAAGAATACAAATTTCTTTAAGAGAATAAGTTATTTCTTTTCTGGGAATCAACTGACCTCAAGAGGACCTTTGAACATATCATAGTAACTAATCTGTCAAGTATTTTGTGTTTTGAGTTAAACATGTCACTACTGAAATCCTCACATGTTAGTTAACAATTTTCTAAATATTTACCAAGATCTTTAATAAGCGAGAGTGCTTCCCATGATATAAAGGCTCCACCACCATCATCCATGGCACCCTGTCCAACATCCCAGCTGTCCAGATGTCCACTGACCAGTACAACCTAGAACAAATAATAAAAAGAGAAAAAGTACAACTAAGCAAAAATGACATCAAAGAGTAAACATTTGTAGGTATTCAAAATATAAAAATGAAACTTTTATATTTTCGATTTTTATGTCTTAAAAGACATGTATCATTTTTACTAGTGGAAAACTTGGTTTGAGAAATTATATAAGGGGTCTAAGGCAATCCTAATAGTAACAAAAATCCTCACTTTGTACCTTTCTTTATTAATATAATTTTGACTACTAAAGAAATTGGCTTATTACTGACAGATATTTGATAAATTTATTATATGGCTTAAAACTTAAATGACATAAAAATGAAGCTCGAAACTTCAACCACATCCTTAACTGTTCCAAATTCGAAAAGAAATGCAATAAACATGTGTCGAATTGATTCAAATGAGAAAATGAGAACAATAATTTATTTTTAAAAATTGTTTTGTGCATTATAGATTGATGTTGAATAAATAAATAGCTGGATTTCAAAACTAGATCCAGTTGAACAGGAGAATTTTTAAAGGAAATTTCAACTGACATCAGCATTAAATAAATCTAGAAATTATATTACACATTTTAAATCATCTCAAGTTTAAAATTTTTGTCAGGAAACATTGGTAATTCTCTCTAATAAAATATTTTAAAAATTTACTGAAACTAAATTTTGTGGACACACTTAAAACAAGTTAAAACCCAAGTAAAGTGATAATGGGATGTATAGAATATTGGTTTGAAAAAAATGTATCTTGATCATTATAAAACATACAAATATGGAGTCAGACGAATTACATATCTAAATACAGATTTTAGAGGAATGTATAGAATAACTTCGCCAATTTGAAGTAGGCAAAGATATCTTAGACTGGACATGAAAAGCATAAGCCATAAAAGAAAAAAATAATAAATTATGTTTTGAGTTAAATATGTCACTACTGAGATCCTCATACATTGGTTAATAATTTTCTAAATATTACCAAGATCTTTAATATGTCAGAGTATTATTTTAAAATTGGGAATATCTAGTCATCAAAAGACCCCATTACCCATTAAGAGCGTGAAAAGGTAACCCACAGAGAAACAGAAAATATTTACCATATATATATATATATATATATACATATATATATATATATATATATGAACAGACAATGCACAAAGAAAGATATACAAATTACAAACAATCATATAAAAAGACAGGTCAGCTTCATTATCATTAAGGAAATGTAAATTAAACCACATTCAATACATATTGACCAGACTGGCTGAAATGAAAAAAAAAAAATGCCAAATATTAGTGAGGAGGTGGAGCAGCTGGAACTCTTGTAAATTGCTAGAGTAAGTATATTCAACCACCCTGGAAAACTGGCTTATCTATTAAATCTGTATGTACACAAAACTATGACCCAGCAATTCTATTCCTAGTTATATATCCAATAGGACTCGTGTGTGTGTGTGTGTGTGTGTGTGTACTTTAATCAAAATAGATGTACTGGAATATTCCTAATAGAGTATTCATTCATAATAGACCTAACCCTCCTTAAAAAAAAAAAAAAAAGGAAAACTAATCAAATGCCTGCTGACAACAGAATGAATAAATTGTGCTGTATTTATCAATGGGACACTGCATGGCAATAAGGTAGGAATGGAGAAATGAACAAACACAATACATGACAAATTTGTACAACCCTCATAAACATAATGAAAAAAGAAGTCAGATACAAAATAACACATCCTCTATCATGCCATTTGCATAAAATATAAAAACATGCAAAACAGGAGAGTGATTACCCTTGGTGAGGAAGGTAAGTGATAAAAAGGGGGTACATGTAATCCCAGCAATTTGGGAGGCCGAGGTGGGTGGATCACCTGAGGTCAGGAGTTCAAGACCAGCCTGGCCAACATGGTGAAACTCCGTCTCTACTAAAAATACAAAAATTAGCTGGGCATGGTGGCAGGCGCCTGTAATTCCAGTTACTCCGGAGGCTGTCATTGGAGAATTGCTCGAACCTGGGAGGTGGAGGTTGCAGAGAGCTGAGATCACGCCATTGCACTCCAGCCTGGGGGACAAGAGCGAGACTTCATCTCAAAAAATGAAGGTATAGGAAAGCTTCTGGGGTACTGTTCATGTTCTGTTTTCTGATCTGGGTAGCAGTTACACAGGTGTACTCAGTTTGTAAAAGTTCGCCATATACACTTAGGATTTGTATACTTTCTCTGAGAATATTATACTTCAATATAATTTTTTTAAAAGTTTTACAGATTGATATGTCTGCTTAGCATGTACTGAGTAAACCAAAGTTGAACCAATCTTCTTGATGATTAAAATAAAAATTCCCCATGACTTTGGGAAAGCAGGACTTTGGGGTTAAAATATTAGGGTCACCCTTTGCACTGGATGATTCACAGAGCAGCTGCAGTATCTCCCATTGACTTATATACAGACCCAACCTAGTATGACCTCACTGTAGTTACAAACAAGCACAATGCCCCAAACTAACAAATGGCCATGAAATGAACCCAAATGGATTGTTTCTAAGGGGAGAAAATAAAGAATAAAGAAAAAATCATGTTGCAATAGCAGGAACTTCTGATTCAGAAAGTAGTGGTGTAATCCCATGTGGGACAAACAGCCCAATTAGTCAACATTCTCACGACTCTCAGAACATTTTCCCAATAAGATTCTAGTGTATTAAAGTATCCAAATGTGCTTCAATACACTTTTTCTCAGATAATATATAAGAGTGACAAAGTAAAGGAAGCTATCATTTTATCCTTCAGATTTCCTTCAGAATAATTGAGGTTGTTTACAATCATACTTCTTTATGTTTTCTTCATTCTGTAATCTACTTAATGTTACTTAAACTAGTAGTTAAAAAATTGGAAAGATGGTTTTTGAATGATAGGAAACTAAACAACATCCAAAAGGACAAGGTCTTTGGTATAGTGCTATAGAGGAATGGTTACATATTCTTTGGATTTTGAGAGCTTGGTTTAGTATACATTTTTTTTAAATCAGAAAACTGGGGGCAACAATAAAATGGTCATCGTAATTTTAATATCTATTGATTTAAAACTAGGTAACGACAAAAAGCTACTTCTAAGTCAGTAGCAATTTGAATGAACTTGAATTTTCCAAATATAAGAGCTTCTGCATATACTTAGAAAATAACAGTGCAGGAGGTTTCACTCACAATGGAATCTGGCTAGCATTTCTTAATGTAGCCTCACAAAAGATAACCCAGAAAAATATACCAAGGCACAAGATTACTGAAAAATCTCCCTTATGTCAAGGTCAGGTGCAAAAGAACATTAGTTATAATAAGCTTGGATCTGACTTAGACAAACAAAACAAAAACAGACTACCCAGAAATGCAGTAAACTCCAGTTTCATGAAAAATATCACCTGATAAATGTTAGGAAAATGCACAGTCCCTTTACTGCCTCTGTTGCCAGATCTGGACTCTTTTGATCAAAAACATGGCCTAAAATCATCAGAGAAGTGGGCACCTGCCCATCTACCCCTTGTGTTCTGCTTCCTGAGGCTGATCAATTCCTTTCCCCCCGACTTCCTTTCCACCACCATCTCTTCCAAATGCAGTATAGAGTAAAAAATTACTCTGAAAACAACAACTGCAATAGCAGCCACAACAAAACAACTAGAAAGGCAGAATGGGAACTTAGTTCTTTGAAATGTAGGGTTTCTTATTTGTAAGGCAGACCTTAGCTCTGACTGCCTTGGGAATGAGGGCCTTGGGAGTAGGGGAAGAATACACCACAGTCAGACAGAAATGCACTGGATGAAAGCCTGCTAGGAGAAGGAATCAGACTGGCAATGGCATACATCCACCCGCAGGCCAGCTGTAGGTCTGAGAGTGGAGATGGATGAAATCAAAGATGTGCAGAGAGCAGCCCGAGGACAAGCCCCTCTGTTATGGGTGCATATGAAGACACCAAGTCCAAATAGATCCACCTGATTATAAGATTAAAATGGAACATATGAAAAATATGGCAGGACAAGGGAGATGAAACAGCTTCAGAGGACATGTATTCTTAGGAAAAGGAGCTAATGCAAGATACTGAAGAACATTTCATGCTCTCTGGCATTCAGTCATGATTTCCTTCAACAATTTGTATTGAGTTCCCACTATGTACTAGAGATGCCAAAATGAATAAAACATGCAAATATTCTACCTTAATTGAATTTAGATTCTGGTGGGAAGATGGAAAATAAATAAATGTGATATAATGATAGTTTTAAGTGCAATAGAGAAAAAAAATCTTTATATCTTCAGTGTGGAGATTTAAAAAATAGAATAAAAATTCAAAGCATGAATAGTAGATATATAAATTCAACTATCATAAGTGAAGTTTATGTTCATCAAGAGAAATTATAGAATGAGAGGAGTTACTAAAAATTAGAAGACATTTAAAATATACATAAAACCCAAAATGATTTATATTCAAAATGGATAATGAATTCTTACAAATCAACAAGAAAAAGACAAGCAACCCCAAAAGCAAATAGGCAAATGACATAAAGGGGCATTTCATGGAAAAGAAATTATGAATGGACAGCAAGTACTTGAAAAGATGACCAATTACCTATCAGGGAAATGTAAATGTAAATTAAATCCTTAATAAGATACCAAGTTGCACCTAACTGGCAAAAAAATTTAAAATCAGACAAATGAGATCTTGGCAGGGAGGCTGAGCAACAGGAATTCTTATCTAATCCTGGTAGGAGCAGGAAATTGTTAAAAATCATTCAGAGAAAACAATTGGACATATCCTTATAAGGCTGAACATATGTGCATTCCACAATCCAACAATTCCACTTTTGATATAAACATTAGAGGGAAATCTAATTCCAGGAGACATGGACCAAAATGGTCATACAGGCTATTCAGAAGTTCTGAAATTGAAAAAAAAACACAAATATACATAATCAGTAGAATAAATTGTGGAATAGTCATACAATGGTATATTACAAAGTAGTGAA